CCATCTCACCAGCCCTCCCATGAGTTTTTTTTTTTTTTTTTGCGCGGAATGCCTTCAAGGTATGACTGGCTGTCTTGTGTTGTGGGGATGAACCACAGCAACCTGAGCCTGACTGCTTTGTTGAAGCAGCCACTTAAAGAACTGAGCTAAGGGGCAGGCCCCCTCCCATGAGTTTTTAAATGATGAATTGTTCTTTTGGTCTCTTCAGGAGGCCTGAAGTTAAAAGTTAGCCTGGAGCATGCTGTGGGCAGGGTGGATGCAGCCTGGGAGCTGGGCTGGGAGGCAGCAGAGGACCAGGGTCCGTGCTGGGCCAGGGAATGGGAATGGGGTAGATCTGTCTGAGGGAGGTGAGAAGGGAGGAGACAGCCCTGGGGCAGAGCAGGGTGAGCAAACCTCCCCTGGCTGCTCTCCACCGGGGCCATCCTGCACCTGTGCTGCACCCTGTAGGGTGAACCGGGCCAGGGGTGAAGCAGGGGCAGTACCTGCGTGGGCTGTGGGCTGCGGCTCCGCAGCGCCAGCCTCACCCTTGCCTTCTTGGCTCCTGCAGCTGCTCCAGACCACCAACAACTCCCCGATGAACTCCAAGCCCCAGCAGATTAAAATGCAGTCAACGAAAAAAGGTCCACTGTCCAAACGAGAAGAGGGGGGACCATCTGGTGGGCCGGCAGCAGGGGCAGCCCCTCCTGGGGATGAAGCCTCATCTCTAGGTGCTGGGCAGTCAAGTGTGCCTAGTGGTCTGCAGCCCCAGGTGAGTGGGGCCTGGGGTCCAGCAAGGAGGTGGGAGCGCATGGCCCCCAGGTAGCCAGCCCCTGGGAAGGGCTCTCAGCAACTGTTTGTGCAGGTGCTATCCAGGTTGTCTCTCACTATGTCAGAGTTGCTCCAGCTAAAATATGGCCTGTGTCACATCAGTGTAACTGGCCCTGTCTACCATTTAGTTTTAATGAAGTAAAATAGACTAGAAAATGTCAAACTGGGGCTGGGAGATGGCTCAATAGAATAATAGCTTGCCTGGCAAGCACAAGGGCCTGAGTTCAATCCTTGGTTCTGCCAAAGTAAAAAAAGAAAGAAAGAAAGAAAATGTCAGACTGGGCATAGTGGTGTACCCCTATGATCCCAGCACTCGGGAGGCTGAGGCAGGAGGATTGTTGTGAGTTTGAGACTAGTCTGGGCTACAAAGTGAGCTCAAGGCCAGCCTGAACTGCACGTGGCAAGACCCTGTCTCAGAGAGCTGAGAGAGAGAGATGTCAAGTGTACTTTTCATGGTAAGAGTAGACGTAGTGTTGACAGTGGCACGAGTGTGTCCCGGAGCCCAGAGCTAAGAGACACACCACTACCTTATGGGGCCTGCGTGGTCCCTCCTGGCATTCAGGGCACAGGCCTTGGCAGTTGCATGTGGCTTTCTCCCCAGGGCTCTGCCTGGCCTGGCAAAGGGTGGCGCCCCTTGGGCATGTCTCCCCAGTGTCTTTTCCTCTTCAGACCCCTTTGATGAAAGAAGCTTCTGGATGTATGTGTCGCAGGCATTCGCATCACCCCCACCCTAGCATATCATTTCCTCTGGTTCCATCACTGTCCTTCCCAGTCAGCAGTGGCAATTGTTAATTCATTCTTTTTTTTTTTTTTTTCAGAACCAGGGATTGAACTCAGGCCCTTGCGCTTGCCAGGGAAGCGCTTATTCCACTGACCCACCTCCCTGGCCCCTTGTTAATTCATTCTTTACTTCATGCTTCTCTGAAAGGCCCTGCACCATTATTGTGTATGGACAGGAGGTGCGGAGGGCAAAGTCGCCCCCAGCCTTCAGGCCAGGCTGCCTCCCCTCTGCCTGGCCCCTGCCACTCCACCCTGCTTACAGGGACAGTGCTTCTCAAGCTTCTCCTTTCTGTCTTTCAGTCCAAGCCCAGCAGTGGGGGCCGACGACGAGGGGGCCAACGCCACAAGGTGAAGTCCCAGGGGGCCTGTGTGACTCCTGCCAGCGGCTGTTGAATCTTCCCGGCTCAGCGCCCCACCCAGGGTCACACTCTGGCCGCCACCCACCAGCGGGCCAGCGGCGCTTCCTGCGCCCACCCACTCCCAGGCCACAGCCAGAGCCTCTCCGTTGTCCACCCCCGTTTTCCAGGGGGGCTGTAATTTATAAATGAGGAAGGCGGCCAGGCTTTGTGAGGACTGTCTCCTGCCCTCTTCCCCGCCTCCTTCCTCACTCACACATCTTTTGTACATCTGGGTCCTTAGTTTTTATCCTTTTTATTATATATCTCTCTCTGTTCAGCGTGCTGTGTGTGTGCAAGGCCCAGGAGTGTGGCGGCGGCCAGGGCCATGTCCTTCCCTCCTCTGTGGCTGGCCTTCCCAGCCGTCCATCTGTCTGTCAATGTGTCTGTCTTGATGAAACCCTCAGAGGCTGTAGAGGTTATCAGGAGCTGAAGGAGGCCAGCTTCCTTTCTCACTGCTCCTCTACCACTGTAGGGCTGGCTTGGGCTTCTCTGGGTGTCTGGGATTCCGTGCCTGCTGCTGCCAGGGCAGGGAACCGAGTCCAGTACTTGGGGGTTTTAACAGGGTGGAGCCGCTGGCTTCTCCGTGTCTCTCCCACCTCTTCCCCTTATTCCTTCACACGGGTGATGCTCAGAGCTCCTCAGTAGTAACTGTGAGTGCAGGAGTAGCGCTTGTGCCGTAGGATTCATCCCACCTGGCCGGGCCCTGCACCCCGAGCCAGGGCACCTGCTGGGCCTCCCCTGGAGACAATCCTGTGTTTTCCTGGGCTGGCCCTGGCTCTTGCCAGCGCTGCCCATCTGCCCAACTTTGAGGCCAGTTCCTTGCTGCCGCCTCCTGCTGCTGGGACCTTGGCCTTTTCTTGGGCCTCAGGGCATTGGATTGCTAGATTGGGCCTGGGCTGCTTGGAACTGGGTTTTCTAGCAGCTCCAAGTTGGTAGGTAGGGAAGGGCCCTTCTTGGCGACTGCCTCCTTGTATCCACCTTAGCCCAGCTGCTGCAGGAGCAGTCAGGTCCTCGCACAGGTCTGGAGGCCCCACTGGGTGTGGCAGGGCCCTTGAGGCGAGGCCTAGTGCGGAACACTTAGCACTGAGAAGCAGCGCTGCCTGGGGCGGGGCAGGGTGGCCCCGGCTGTCCTGGACTGGGCACTGCCCTGAAGCCCTCCCTTTAGGGTGACTAGCGGGCACAATTTCCTTCTCTAGCCACGGCAGACACCCAGCTGGCTGGGTCCTTCAGCCTCGCCTCCTTCCCATCTCCACCCCCCTCCTGTCCTCTGCTCCTGACTGCTGGTCCCTTCCCCTCCTTTCAACTGTTTCTAGTTACCACTGCCCCACGGCCATGGACTGACCAGACCAGCATTCACAATAAAAGTTTGTTCTAAGTGGACAGTGTTGTGTTCCTTGCCCAGCCCTCCAAGTGGAGGTGCTGCCACAGGAGGGACTCGGGCGGGCCTGCCCTCGAGTGCCTGCACAGCTCTTCAGCTTAAATTGTGTCTCTTCTTTAATCCTCTCTCATTGCTGAGACAAAATACTTGATGCTGAGACACAATATTCAATGCCAAAGCTAAGGGAGGAAAAATATATTTAATGAACAGTGGTTAGAGGTTTCAGTCCATATTCAGCTGGCTCCAAGGCAGAGGGGCACATGGCAGAGGGGCAACCTTCATGGCGGCAGAAGCCCACAAAAGCAACAAGAGAGAGCAAGGCAAGTCTCTTTGTTGCTTATATTGTATCCTGTCAGTGGGCTGATCCAGCAATCCCAACCTTAGACCCAGCATTGCACTATGAATCGGTCACACACTAGATTCAGCCACCTTTGAAAACATCTAGACAGGCTGGAGATTTAGCTGAGTAGTGGAACACTTGCCTAGCAAGCTGGAAGCCCTGGGTTTGGTTCTCAGCACCAAAATCAAAAAATAAACCTCAACTAAAAAAAAAAAAAGACTTGGAAACATTAGACAAAACAGTGAGCTGTGGCACAAGATGGCTTGCCTGTGTTTCCAGGAACCTGTTTCCTCATCTATGGCAAGAGGCAGACCCCACCTGGGTATGCATAGTCCGCGCAGGAGACCTGTACTGGCAGGGCTGTGGTGTGGCCACATCTAGCAGTGGACTCCCATGTGTCCTGGTCTGTGAGAGCTTGTGTCAGCAGGAATTGCTAGCCCTGTTTTGGTAAAGCCCAGCCTGCCCTGTCTGGCTCCAGTGCTGCGCTGTGGGCTCTGGTTGGCTTAGGCCAGTTGGAACTCACTCTGGTTTGACTGCTGCCCCTTTAAGTAGCAGTGGTCTCTACAACCATCATTTGTTTTGGGGGCTCTAGCTACCACCCTGCGCTCTCTCCTCAGGCACTTGAGGGTGGGTCTATGCCCCTAGCCCACTTCTGCAAGCAGGGAGCTGAGAGAATTCAGTGATTCGGTGTGGGTCACAGACTTCAAAAGTCCCAGCCTTCATTATTGCATTGGAGCAAAACCCCAGCCCATTTGAAGCTGACAGAAAATAAAGTTGTTTTCGGATGGCAGGGCCTGACCCGGCCATGCGGCAGAAAGACTTTGGCATCTCGCCAGGAGGAGGCCCTGGATGGGATGGGGCGGAGTGGCCAGAGCCCTGCCACAGACCGCCTGGCTCACTTGTGCCCAGTGCAGAGTGAGATGAAGTGACAGAAGCAGGCCCCACGCAGGGAACACAGATGTTGGGTGAGGATGGGGAGGCCCTCTGAGGTCCAGCAGCGTCTGCATGAGCAAAGACCAGCAGACTGCTGGTGTGTGAGTTCCAGGGACCTGTTTAGCAGCCTTTCCTGCTCTGGGACAATGTCTCCTTTGCAAATGGCTCAGAAAGAGGCAGAGCCAGCAGCGAGTGCAAATCCAGCTCTATTCTGGCACTCAGGACCCAAAGGTTCCACTAGACTTGCCCTCCAACCACTGGCTGGCTGCTCGTTCATCCCTGCTGCTGGTTCCTGCTTGTATTTTTTCAGCCATGGCAAGGCCTACCCCTGGGCAAAGTGCCTTGGCATGAGAGTTAGGGGACTCTGAGCAGTGGGGGCAGCTGTGGTTGGGAGGTCAGGACCCGATTCTTCTGAGCTGGTGGGTCCTAGTGCATCAGGGACTCACTTCCTTGCCCTTTCCCTGCACAGGTCCAGGACCCATGGAGGAGTTGTGTGTGAGGTGCACAGGGTCCACAGTTGGCATGACTTTCTGCCTCTGCTCCTTGGCAGAAAGGGCCTTAGTAACAGCTCATAAAAGTCAGCTCACTTCTTCCTTCCAGCCTTGGGCCCTGCAACATTGGTGCCAACCCTATTACAACTAGGTTGTAACCCAAAGTCCTGGGTTCTTATACTTCATCTCTTAGGGACATGGGCTTGGCCAAGAGTCCATTTCCTCATTTCCCCAAGAGCAGCTGCCCTGTGCAAAGCCCACATAAAAACCACATTCCACTGATCCTGGGCATCCTTTATTTTTTGCATAGGCATAAATTAGAATCTGGAGATTTAAAAAAAAAAATTAAGAACCAACAGTGCAGCATTTGTGACAGGAGAGTGCAGAGTAAGACCTGGTTGTCTTGGGGCAGGGACAGGGCTGAGCAGGGAGGGCCCAGTCCTCTAAGGCGAAGGGTACCAGCCTGCTCACAACCCCTCACTCCCTCCCCCTCCCCACAGGCTGGGACCAAGGAACTGAGAACCACCCAGTGCCCCAGAGAACGGGGCTAAGAATCAAGCCCTTAGCTTTTCAGTTAAAAAACAGACCTTGAAAAATATACACATAATACAGCAGGGCCTGTGGGTCTAAAGCCCCTTTTCCTCTGGCTTCCTCTCAGCCCCCACCCAGCTGCCGCTGCAGAAGCCAGAAAGGAAACAGAATCTGGGGGAGCTGAGAGCCCAGAGGGAGCCTGAGAAAGCCTTCTCTAGGTCCACTTAGCGGGTAGTGAGCCAACACAGACAGCCTTCCCTCCACTTGACACCCTGAATGGCGCCGTCATCACCGTAACTGACCAGGAGAGCCCAGGAAGTGCCCACTCCCCCAATTCTAGCTAATGGCCCCAGATAGGACTGGGCACCCCACAGCCTGGGGAATGTGAAGCTTGCTCTGGGTTACAGGGAGCCCCACTGCAGAACAGGGTACAGGGCGGCCCTCACCCTGGCATCAGCAGAGGAAAAAGCAAAGGCTATCCCAGCACAGGGAGTCCTACAGGTTGGCATAGGCGGCAGCCCTCCGATACCCTGGACAAATACAGCTTCTAGAGATCCTTGGGGTCTTAGAGGCCTGGCTTCTCCACGTCCCTGGCACCGGTCTTGCAGGGTCCTCTTGCCTGGTGCAGAGCAGGTTCCTCCAAGGCAGTGCTTCCCTGACTGAATGCACACTGTGCACCTCCTGTAGCCCTGTCTCTGCCATCTGGGCTTGGCACCTGCCTCCTCCAAACACACCTGGGCCAGAGCAGAGCCCTCACCTCCTCCTGCCACCAGTGCCCCACAGTATGTTACATATATACACTCGGTGGCCCAGCTCAGAGGACAGGATAAAGGGGACCACAGTGCTTTCTTTCCTTCTCCCTGGGGTCAGGGCTCTTCTTTCTTGCTCCCAGAAGTCAAAGCGCTGGTCAAGCATGTGGGGGCAGTGATGGGTGCTGCACACCCATCCTGGAGCAGGCTGTGTGCGGGGAGGAGTGTGGTCCCCAGTTGGTGGCAGGCACAGACTCAGGGCTAGTGGGTAGGCTCCCCATGCACCCTGAAGCGGTAGATGCAGGTGTACTCAGGGTGGCCCCAGTTGGTCAGGATCCGCAGCTCCACCACCTGGTATGCAGCCATTTTGGGGGTCTGGATAGAGACAGGGGTTCAGAGTGTCACAGAGCCCTTTGAGACCTCAGTGGCAGAGAACTGGGCTGGGGAGAGGGCCATGTCTGGGGCCGGATGGTCCCTCCCCTCCCCTGGAGCTCTGAAGGGTACCAGGCACGTGGTCCTCGGCCCACTTGCAAGTGGCCTTGGTGCCAGGACCTGTACAATGCACTAAGCCAGAGATAACTTCACTGTGAGTGGCAGAAGTCCCTTTCTCAGGGCCGGGGAGATGGCTCAGTAGAATAAGCACTTCCCTGGCAAGCACAGGGACCTGAGTTCAGTCCCCGGTTCCAAAAAAAAAAAAAAAAAAGTCCCTTTCTCAAGTGCCCATTGGCCTTGTCCTCTGTGCTTCAAGCCAGCGTCTGGGCCAGCATTTACACCCCTTCTCACCCTGCTGAAGCCACAAGGGTGGTGCCTTCCTGGCCCGTTCATTGGGTGCTTCCTGCACCCGCCCTTCACTTTCAGTCTGCAGACCGCCTGGGGAACCCCCTCCCAGGACTTCCTCACCAGCCTGGAGCTGACAACAGTTGACATCTAGTCTAGCCCCTTTCTGTGCCACTGGACGGCCCCACATGTGCCTGTCCATCCCCAGCTCTGCATCAGCTGCTCTTGGCACTGGCTCCAGCACTGTGCTGTAGCTTGCAAGCTGTCCTGTGCTCCCCCTTGTTCCCCCAGCCTGCCATTCAGAGCCTCACTCCCCACATCCCCTCTGTCCTCAGCCATTCTGGCCCACTTACCGGCAACCACTTCCAGGCCCCACTTCCAGACCCTATACCCAGGATCCAGGCTTGTCCCTTTCCATTCACATTTTTTTTTTTTTTTTTTTTGTGTGTGTGTGTGGTCAGCTCAGCCCACCAGGGGGCAGGGCTGGCTGGCATGTGGTGCTGGGGGATTGAACCGCGGTCCCTGTGCTTTACTAAGCTTGTTCTAAGTAGGTGCTTTAGACCACTGAGCCATCTCACCAGCCCCTCCATTCACATTTGACCTTAACACACACATGGTCCTGTCACCTAAGACATGCCAGTGTCATGCCCCCAGCCCTGAGACCTGAAAGTCCTGTCTTGGGTCTTTCCCTGCACTGTCTTCTCCCCACATCTTACAGTTTTCCCTTCCTTGGTTGCCTCAAATTCATCTGGATGGATTGGTTGAATGCAGGTTCCCAGGTGTCCTCAGCCCTGAGCAATCATTCTCAGGTAGGGCCTGGGCATCTGCATCTCTGACATAGACCAGAGGCCCATTCCAGCTTAAACCACAGCCACCGCCTGAGCTCGCAGCTGGCCGTGCCCTAGCACTGCTGGCCTCTCTTCCCAGAACACTCTTCATGGCTGTGTGTCCTGGAAACCCCAACTCTACTTTCCTAAAACTCTCCTTGGGGGAGTCTTAAGCTCCCAACTCTGCACTTCTGGAAGGGGCTCTCTTGGGTGCCATCTACAGGGTGTGACATCTCTACTTCTGTACCCTAAAGGCAGGAAGGCCTGCGTCTCTCACTGAACCCTGTGCCTGGCAGAACAAGTGCCTTAGAAACATCTGGTGCCCACATGGAAAGCAAGGTGCCACCTCACTGGTGCAACTGTCCTGTACCTGGAAGTAGAAGGTCTGAATGGGCTCCCCGTCCTGATCATAGGTGAATGTGCCAAGAAGCACGCCCTCTTGTTGCAGGTCTTCATCCAAGCCCTGCAGAAGAGCAGAAGGGATGGAGGGAGAGGTGGGAGGGTAGGGTGGTACTGTGCTGACTTGGTCCCACCCCCTAGCTCAGCAGACCTGCCAGGACTTCCAGGGTTCTGGTCTGAGTGCTGGCCATGGCTACCACAGGGCTACCCTGTGGCCCATGAGGACCACTTATCTCTCGTGCCTCAGTTTCTTCCTCTGTAGCCTAAGACAACTAGGAATGAACTTGGCCGCCTCTCTATCTGGTCCTACCTCTCTGAATCTCCTCACCTCCCTCCTAGCCAGAGTGACCCCAACCCAGTCCTGCAGAGACCCACAGGCTCTTCCTGCAGTGCTTTCAGCCCACATCGGCCAGATACTCACAAAGATGGCAAAGTCCTTGGGGGCACTGGAGATGGTGCTGTTGGGAGATAGGGCCTTGGGCACGTGTTCTAAGGTGACAGCCGTGGGCCGGATGCGGGCAGACAGGCGGACCACAGCGAACCCCTGGGGCCCCTGGAAGGCCCAACAGTTGCCTGGGTGCACATCTGGCTGGAAGGTTTAGAAGGCAAGATAGGTCAGGGCCTGGTCCAGCTCTGGCTGACCCAGCAAGGTTGTCCCCACTGTGCTCAGAGCCATGCTGGGGTCCCCATGGGGTGCCTACCTGGAGAATGACCCGGGGAGACTGGGAGTGGTACCATAGTGGGATGCCAAAGAGGCTGAGGAGGGCGGTTTTGGTCTCGTAGGTCTCTGAACATCGGGTACTGATAACACTGGCTCCTGACATGGATAAGAAAGGCAGGATGGGCACCCACAGCTGGCCAGCTGAGGGTGCCAGCCACAGGAACCCAGCATGAAGGGCTGAAGCAGTTAGAGGGGGGCCTGCCACTGCCTGGACCCTTGGTGAGCACAGAGGGCAGCTGCCCCAGATCCTGGCCCATGGATGTCAGCCTCTTTCCTCCTGAGATGCGGCTTGGTACCCCCTCTTCCTGAGCGTCACCTTGGCTCAACCTAGGTTGGGTGATCTGTGTCGACCTCAAGCTCTGCCTGCTGAGCACCATGTCTGCCTGGCAAATGCCAGAGGCCCACCTGTTGTGCAGATCAGGACAAGACAAAGTGAGAAAGGCTGCGCACAAACCTCCCGATTCCAGGGCGTAGTCCACCATCCCGATGCGGTCCTCACTGTAGCGCTGCAGAGCCTGCTTTACGATCTGGTGCACCTGCTAAAATGGGCAGGGGACAGTCTCAGTGGGAAGCAGATGTCTCATGCCCTGGGCTGGCTCCCTGCAGATAACCCCACTGGGCAGGCACCATGCTGTCGCCAGGAAACAGCACACCCCCACCCTCAGTGGCCCAAACACACAAAAGTGACCTCCTATGTCACTTGCATCTGGAACATACTGTCCAGACCCACAGCTCCGGGAGGGACAGCTGTGTGTCTATGGGGTGGCCTTGTTCCTCACCTCCTCTGTCACCCCGACCACACCTTCGTTCTGCAGTGTCCGTCCCAGCAAGGCCGCAGCCTCCCGAGCTGACTTGCCCTGCATCTCTGTCACATGGGCAAGGATCTTGCTCTCCAGCTCCTGCAGCTGAGCTTGCACCTCCTCTCTCTGGAGGAGCCCGGAGCGGGCACCCCCACCTTGGAGAAGGAAGTGACTGACCCAGGCAGGGAACTGAGATTCCACCTAGGGACAAGACACAGTGTAACTGGGAGCCTTGCAGGAACTGCTGTGTGCTCTGGCCAGGCCAGCAGAGTAGGGTGGTGCTCATTTAGGGAGCAGGTCTGAGGGAAAGGGTTGTGAGCTCTCCCTGGGCACCCATGAGAAACAGGAAGCCCGCGCCTGTGTCACATCCAGCTGCAGCCTCCTGGGAATAACAGGGATAAGAGGCGCCTGCTGTGCACACCCAGGGCAGACCATCCCGGACAAGGGGGTGTGCAGCCAGGGTCTGGGGTGCTTCCACTCACTTCCTGCCTCACAGCCTGGATCTTCTGGGGCAGCAGCCCCACTTCATCCTCCACCGAGCTCTGCTTCAGGGTCAGAGCCGCCAGTTCCTGCCGCAGGCCGGCTAGCTGGGCCTCCAGCCGCCCCAGCTCCTGCACAGAGTTCTCCTGGATGGCCTCCTGGGTCATGCTGGCCCCAAAGGGAGAGCAGTAAGGGGACAGGGTCAGGTCAAGCTGAGGAAGGACAAGGATGCCCTGGCTGGCCCTTGTCACACAGCATGTGCCTACTGTGAGCTTGAGGACAGGGCCTGCCCTCGGGGGCCTAGCTGTTGCAGGAGTCTGGCCCTGGCTTGCCTGGCCTAGAGACAATTCTGATTTGGTCCCCACTATGTCCAGAGTCTGTACTTTCTCTTGCCATGGCCTTTCAACCTCCTCAAGGATAGACACGTGGGCTGTGTGGAGGCCATGCTGCTAGCATGAGCCCACACAGAGAAGGCAGCGGCCATCAGTCAGGCCTGTATCTTACTGCAGTGCCTGCCTGCAGCCTCTAACCTCCCACACGACCCTCCACTAGACTGGCTGCCTCAGCCACCTTGCCTGCTTCATGGGACAGTCAGAACCCACTCTGGGGTCTGCTCCCAGATCTGCCTGGGGTGGGGTGCAGTGCAGCCTAGGCCAGTTGGTGGGGTGCTTACCTCTGCCACTCTGACTTGAGGTGCTGGATGCGAGCTTCAGACTCCTGAGACAGGAAGGAACAAATATAAGACATACTGGATACTGGGCTCAGAGAACGTGGCCTCCAGAGGAGGACCTGCCCTCCACTGGGGTCTCTGCTCAACCACGTGTCTGGCCAGGGTCACTGGGCCCTGCACAGACCTCCACTGGCTTCCTGGCAGACGTCCTCAAAAGTCGCACCCCCCACCTGACAGCGTGCACACACTGGGCATGACAGCCGCCCGGCCTTGCATGCTCCCAGCAGGGAGCTGAGCTCACACAGACACAGCCCTCCCGCTCGGTGGCCCAGGAGTCCTCCTGCAAGGACCAAAGGTCCAGGGGTCTCGCAGTCCAAGGAAAGATGAGGAAATGGGCCAGGACCTGGCACAAGCAGATGCTGACCTGGGAGGCCTGGACGATTTTCTTGAAGAGGTCCTCCGAGTCCTGGTGATGTTCTGCCCTCACGGCAGCCAGTTCTTCCTGTCAGACATGGAGAAGAGGATAGGACAGCTGTGCTTGCAGGGGTGCTTGGGACTGGGAGGGGCTTAGCTGGGATTCAGCCGGGGGTCTTTTGGTTCACAGGCTTCAGCTCTTGGCCACAGAGCTCTGACCTGGTGTCAGCGCTGTGCTGTAAATCCCATGTCTCACAACATGGGGGCAGGGAGGACGGGGCAGACTGCATGTGAAAGAGGACACCTGTGGTGCAGCTAGGCTCAGAGGCAAGTGGCAGAGCTGCCTGCCCCTAAAGGACACATGCAGTCTCCTCTCTCCGCCACACCCACAGCCACAAGATCACATGATGTCACCCAAAAGCAACACACAGCTTTCTCCTCCCCCAGCTTGCTAGGCTCTCCCACCTGGATGCGAGTGGCAGTGTCCCTTCGGAAGTCCTCCTTCAGGGCAGCCTCCCGGCGGCTCACCAGCCCCTCCAGGAGCGCCAAAGTGTCCTCCTGGCTCAAGCCACTGCCACCCCCCTGGCCAGGGGCCCCCTGCCGAAGCTCTAGGCGCTCTAGCCGGATGGACTCCCTCTGCCAGTTGGAGGAAAACTCAGCAGCCAGAGCCTCCAGGCGCCGCTCCAGGGAGTTTACTTTGGAGAGGATGCGCTGCTCAGCCTGCAGGGTGGGAAGGAGGGGACACACATGAGGGACAGGGTGCCCCATCATTGAGGCAGAGGGAGGAGGAGAGCCAGGAACGCCCTGCCCCGGGGCAGGAAGGTGCAGAGCGCCAGCCGGGTGTGTTGATAGAGTGAGGTGATGTGTGGAATAGCCAGGAGGGGCCCCAGGACAAGCTGTGAGAGCCAGCCCTCGATTGTCTCAGGAAAGGGTGTGATGCTGCAGGACACCTTGGGGGCCTGGGGGGCCGCCTGCTGGCTTGCTCCTGAGTTCCAGCTGGTGGTTCTCAATTGTGGCCACTCCTTCCCCAGAAGAGGACATGGTTCGAAAGTGCTTTCTTTTTCCTCTTTATCTGGGTGCCCAAGGTGGAGGAACAGTCACTTGGACCTCAAGGTGACATCTGATAGTGTTGTGAATTTCAAGACCCTTGTTGGCATAAAGAACAAAATCGTCCTCAAGGGAAATTATAAAGCACAATCTGCCAACTGTCAAGTCAAGTAAAAACGCTGAGTGGCAGAGGTTCTGATTTCTAGAAATCTCCTTTTCTATTGTTTTTTGAAGCAGGGTCTCACTATGTAGCCCAGGCTGACCTTGAACTCCATGCAGTCCTTCTGACTTCACTCCCAAGTACTGGGATTACAGGTGGAGTTACAGTTGTTACCCCACCCGGCAGGAGTCCCATAGTTTTAAACAGTCCCAGCCAGTGCCCTTGCCACCACCCTCCCCCAAGCCCACTGTTTTTGTTTATGCAAACGTCAGTGAGACAAAGGGCAGCCCATGCTTTACTTCCTCCTCTTAAGGAAAAGGTGCCCCACGTTGAATATAATGATGAAAAAGGCAAGAGGGAGATGACAGAATACATCATTACTTTGAGATAGTAAGATCATGCTCAGAAAATATCCACAAAAATGTATCAAAGCGAGCAGGATACAAATAGCATTCAGGCAACGCTAACTGGGGTACTAAGAATTTTAAGTGACCTGACCTTATACCACACCCTGGCTGTGTGTCTGCCTGTCATCTGTCAACCCCATGGGACCACAGGCTCCTTGAGGGCTGAGCCCAGGCTTGATTCTCCTTTAGACACTGGCAGATTTTAAACTGGCACCATCCCTTACTCCTTCCCATGTCTGTACCCCCTGCAGCCGTGTGGCTTCCTCCTCTGACTTGGAACCTACCCGGCTTCTGTGACATCAAGGCTCAGTGAGCCTGGGGGTAACCTAAGTGTCCCTGGAGAGCAGCTGTCCCTGCAAGGGCCCAGACCAGCCAGCCAACCATGTGCAACACACACGGCCCAGCCATGTTAACCTGTCCTTGCTCAGATAAGAAGGACCACCCAACCCAGACTCTTGAGCCGGTCAAATGCTGTGGTTTCTGGCCGCAGAGTTCATTTCTCTGTGATCACAAGTGTGCAGCAGGATATTACATTACACACAGAACAGGCTCAGGGAATCTTGGTGAGATTGTAGGAATGAAGAAATCAATAATTAGTCCTCTGCCTCCATTTTTTGACCTAAGGATGCAGCTAATTTTAGGGTACTAGTCTAAGTCATGTTTAATTGCAGCACCTCCTCTCCCCAGCACCTGCACCCATAAAGCAGGGAAAGGGGCGTCACAGTAGGATAGCATCTCCTCATGCTGTGGTAGTGCAAGGTGTGAGGCAGGGACACCAGGTGCAGGCACAGGGGAGCCAGGGGCTGCTCACACCTCGGTGCTCACCTGGAAATGTGGGGCCGAGTCTCTGGAGTCCCACAGCTCAGGCTGCTTCCTGCTGTCTCTTGCTGTCCACCAGGAGACCACAGCAGGGTGCAACGTCTGTAGCCCAAAGGGGTAGAAGTACCAAGCACCTGTGCACAGGGACAGGCTGGTCACACCCGAGGAGATAGCAGCAGAATCTCCTTGGTTACCATGGCTGTGTCACCTACAGACCCCTGCTTGGCCAGCGGTGGCACTTCTGGTTGATGGCCTCAAAGGTTGCCCATTCTCCCATTCCCCAGGGCCCTTTAGCCGGTCTATAGATGACAAAGGTAGAGAGGACAGTGACAACAAGTTAGGGGTGATCCCAGGGTTGAACCCAGGGCCCTGTGAGAGGTTCTCAGGCCTGGCCTCATAGCAGTTACCCCAGAGGTAGCTTTGAAAACATCCATGATTGCACCCTCCAGGGAGAGCTGACTGGCCTCGGCTTGGACCCTGTGTGGCAGTTTTAGAACTCCCCAGGGGACTGTGTGGGCTGCCAGGGCTAAGTGTCCTTGAGCCAAAAGACAGCACCTGGGCACAAAGCTGCAGCCAGACAGGTATACACTTCTTGCTTTGGGGACATCTATTTGTGCTGTTTACTCCTAAGGGGTGTGGGGTTGGGGAGAACATGGAAAATCAAGGTGGTTAAGGGGTCTCCATCCAGGTAAGCTCACGTGGGTCTGAATACTAGGCCGGGAGCAGGTGAAAGGGAAGAGAGCCACCCCTTCCCCCGTGTGCAGATCACCAGCCCCCATCCTCCTGCATCCCCAGGGGATGACTAAGACACATAGCTAAATAGCATGGGATAAGGCCTGGGAAAGTGCTTTCTGGATAAACTGTCACCCAATTAGAGAGGAGCATTATTATTTTAAGGGTGATGCCCAGTTTCCACTGGTCATGAACAGGAAACAAAGAGGAAACCGACATTTGGGAAAATGTCCTACCCTGTCATTAATAGAAGAAATACAAGTTGAATAGCTGCTAAACCTATAAAACCAACTCTAAAAACTGATAAAGCGCAGTCTTTAATTATGAATTGGTACAGTCATTAAAAGTAAGCCTGAGGGCTACGTAGGCAGCTCGTGTGAAACTGGCAAACTCAAGTGTTGTTGTCAAAGAGAACATAAAACATAAACATTGGTAGGATGTGGTGGCACTTGCCTATAAACCCAGCTGCTTGAGAGGCTGAGGCAGGAGAATGCTAGTTTGAGGCTAGCCTAGGCAACCTAGCAGAACCCTGTCTCAAAAAAAAAAAAAAAAAAAAGGGGGGGGGGCCGTGGGGCTGTTGATGTAGCTTGGGGACAGAGCACTTGCCTAAGCACAAGAAAGGCCCTGGGTTCAACCCCAGAACTGGGGCTAGGAGAATCCTAGAAAACACAAATACAAAAAAGATGGCTCCAAAGACTGACACAAGCCATGCAGCTAGCACGTGACTGTGCTTTTCAGCGTGGAAAAGGAATATATATTTCCCTTTATTACTTCACTGTTTTTAGATTAAAGACAGCTAAAGATTTAACTGAATCTTGTAAAGACAATTCTCCACACGGGCTATGTCCTGATTTGGGAAGGAGGGAAAAGGACTGCTACTAATAATAGCCTCCGAGTTTCTGCTGGCTACCCATGCTCTGTTGGGGTGTATTCCTGCCTGGGAAGGCCTGGAGAGCACCCCAGATGTGCCCAGCTGAGGGCAAGGTCAGTGGGTCGGGCTCTGTTGCCTTTGCCCCCAAACACCCCACCCCAGAGCTCAGCAGCAGCAGACAGGGAGGACCCCACAGGGTGGCAGGTGGGAAGGCCTGTGCCCCCTCCCAGCCCCGGCTCAGCTCACCGTAGGTCAGGCCTGTCAGGAGCAGCAGCAGCAGGAGGAACCACAGGAAGGTCTTGAGGGATGAAAAGCGCCTGGAGGGAGGACACACAGGGTGCAGACATGAGGGGGAGCTTGGGGGGGTCCCTGTTCCCACACCAAGCCCGTCAGACTTTCTGAATAGAATTGAGGGGGACAATTCTTGAACTTCTCATGGGACCAGGGCCAGAATGAAAGCCACAGTTTTCTCTGTAGGGCATGGGGTGATTGGGACAATTTTAACTGTGAATTTTACTGCTGTGATTAACAATAAATGGTGTGGGGCCGGGGAGATGGCTCAGTGGAATAAGTGCTTCTCTGGCAAGTGCAAGGGGCTGAGTTCAATCCCTGGTTC